TCGTCGTCGTCGTCGTCGTCCTTGTCGTCGTCGTCGTCGTCGTCCGGCGTCGTCTGGCGTCGTCCGAAGACACATTGGTTTTCGCACTCTAACTTTAGTTTAAGTGAATGGATCTCCATGAAATTTCACCATAAGGTTCAATACCACGAAAGGAAGGTTGGGATTGATTTTGGGGGTTATGGTACCAACAGTTAAGGAATTAGGGGCCAAAAAGGGGCCAAAAATAAGCATTTTTGTAATTTTCAGACAATAACTTGTGTGTAAGTGTATAGATCTCTCTGACATTGTACCACAAGGTTCCATATCACAAAGGGAAGGCTGTAATTGATTTTGGGGGTAATTGCCTCAAAATTTTAGGAATTAGGGGCCAAAAAAGGGGCAAAAAACAAGCATTTTTCTAGTTTCATGACAATAACTTGTGTGTAAGTGTTTGGATATTTCTGAAATTGTACTACAAGGTTCCATATCACAAAGGGAAAGCTGGAATTGAGTTTGGGGGTAATTGCCCGAAACGTTTAGGAATTGGGGGCCAAAAAGGGGCCAAAAAACAAGCATTTTTCTAGTTTCCAGACAATAACTTGTGTTCAAGTGTATGGATCTCTCTGAAATTGTACTGCAAGGTACCATACCACAAAGGGAAGGCTGGGATTGAGTTTGGGGGTGATGAATCATAAGGGGGTTCAAAAAATTTGGGGGGGGGGATTTTTTTTTTTTTTTTTTTTCTTTTTTTCCTTTTTTTTACTTTTAAAATTTTCCATTTTAAGTTGGTTATTTCTGATTTATATTTAAAAGCAAATAATAATGATATGGTAGGAGATACACACCAAACAGGATGTGTAAATTATTATATAATAAGTATTGTGCAATAGCAAGAAATTTTCAATTGCACAGTATTGCACAATAGCAAGAAATCTTCAATTGCACAGTATTGCGCAATAGCAAGAAATCTTCAATTTAACAGTATTGCACAATAGCAAGAAATATCCAATAGCACAATATTGCGCAATAGCAAGAACTTGTCAATTGTACAGTATTGCGCAATAGCAAGAAATATTCAATTGCACAGTATTGTGCAAAAGAAGATACTTCGTATAAATTGCTTATTTCTTGATCAATTTCAATGGGGTTTTATTCTTGAATTCTTGGGGTTCTTTAATATGCTGAATCTAACCGTGTATTAAGTTTTTAGATTTTGGGCCCCGTTTTTGAATTGGTCCACATTGAGGTCCAAAGGGTCCAAAATTAAACTTTGTTTGATTTCATCAAAAATTGAATTATTGGGGTTCTTTGATATGCCAAATCTAACCGTGTATTTAGATTTTTAATTTTGGGTCCTGTTTTTTAAATTTGTCTACATTAAGGTCCAAAGGGTCCAAAATTAAACTTAGTTTGATTTTAACAAAAATTGAATTCTTAGGGTTCTTTGATATGCTGAATCTAAACATGTGTTTAGATTTTTGATTATGGGACCAGTTTTCAAGTTGGTCCAAGTTGGGGTCCAAAATTAAACTTTGTTTGATTTCAACAAAAATTGAATATATGGGGTTCTTTGATATGCTGAATCTAAACATGTATTTAGATTATAGATTTTTGGCCCAGTTTTCAAGTTGGTCCAAATTGGGGTCCAAAATTAAACTTTGTTTGATTTCAACAAAAATTGAATATATGGGGTTCTTTGATATGCTGAATCTTACCAAGTATTTAGATTTTTTATTTGTGGGCCCGCTATCAAATTGGTTCATATTGAGGTCAAAAGGGTCCAAAATTAAACTTTGTTTGATTTCATCAAAAATTGAATTATTGGGGTTCTTTGATATGCCAAATCTAACCGTGTATTTAGATTTTTAATTTTGGGTCCTGTTTTTCAAATTGGTCTACATTAAGGTCCAAAGGGTCCAAAATTAAACTTAGTTTGATTTTAACAAAAATTGAATTTTTGGGGTTCTTTGATATGCTGAATCTAAACATGTGTTTAGATTTTTGATTATGGGACCAGTTTTCAAGTTGGTCCAAGTTGGGGTCCAAAATTAAACTTTGTTTGATTTCAACAAAAATTGAATATATGGGGTTCTTTGATATGCTGAATCTAAACATGTATTTAGATTTTAGATTTTTGGCCCAGTTTTCAAGATGGTCCAAATTGGGGTCCAAAATTAAACTTTGTTTGATTTCAACAAAAATTGAATATATGGGGTTCTTTGATATGCTGAATCTTACCATGTATTTAGACTTTTTATTTGTGGGCCCGCTATCAAATTGGTTCATATTGAGGTCAAAAGGGTCCAAAATTAAACTTTGTTTGATTTCATCAAAAATTGAATTATTGGGGTTCTTTGATATGCCAAATCTAACTGTGTTTTTAGATTTTTAATTTAGGGTCCCGTTTTTATACGACCGCAAAAATTAAAAATTTTTTGGTCGTATATTGGTATGACGTTGGCGTCGTCGTCGTCGTCGTCGTCGTCGTTGTCGTCGTCGTCGTCGTCGTCCGGCGTCGTCTGGCGTCGTCCGAAGACACATTGGTTTTCGCACTCTAACTTTAGTTTAAGTGAATGGATCTCCATGAAATTTCACCATAAGGTTCAATACCACGAAAGGAAGGTTGGGATTGATTTTGGGGGTTATGGTACCAACAGTTAAGGAATTAGGGGCCAAAAAGGGGCCAAAAATAAGCATTTTTGTAATTTTCAGACAATAACTTGTGTGTAAGTGTATAGATCTCTCTGACATTGTACCACAAGGTTCCATATCACAAAGGGAAGGCTGTAATTGATTTTGGGGGTAATTGCCTCAAAATTTTAGGAATTAGGGGCCAAAAAAGGGGCAAAAAACAAGCATTTTTCTAGTTTCATGACAATAACTTGTGTGTAAGTGTTTGGATATTTCTGAAATTGTACTACAAGGTTCCATATCACAAAGGGAAAGCTGGAATTGAGTTTGGGGGTAATTGCCCGAAACGTTTAGGAATTGGGGGCCAAAAAGGGGCCAAAAATAAGCATTTTTCTAGTTTCCAGACAATAACTTGTGTTCAAGTGTATGGATCTCTCTGAAATTGTACTGCAAGGTACCATACCACAAAGGGAAGGCTGGGATTGAGTTTGGGGGTGATGAATCATAAGGGGGTTCAAAAAATTTGGGGGGGGGAGATTTTTTTTTTTTTTTTTTTTCTTTTTTTCCTTTTTTTTTTCTTTTAAAATTTTCCATTTTAAGTTGATTATTTCTGATTTATATTTAAAAGCAAATAATAATGATATGGTAGGAGATACACACCAAACAGGATGTGTAAATTATTATATAATAAGTATTGTGCAATAGCAAGAAATTTTCAATTGCACAGTATTGCACAATAGCAAGAAATCTTCAATTGCACAGTATTGCGCAATAGCAAGAAATCTTCAATTGCACAGTATTGCGCAATAGCAAGAAATATCCAATAGCACAATATTGCGCAATAGCAAGAAATTGTCAATTGTACAGTATTGCGCAATAGCAAGAAATATTCAATTGCACAGTGTTGTGCAAAAGAAGATACTTCGTATAAATTGCTTATTTCTTGATCAATTTCAATGGGGTTTTATTCTTGAATTCTTGGGGTTCTTTAATATGCTGAATCTAACCGTGTATTAAGTTTTTGGATTTTGGGCCCCGTTTTTAAATTGGTCCACATTGAGGTCCAAAGGGTCCAAAATTTAACTTTGTTTGATTTCATCAAAAATTGAATTATTGGGGTTCTTTGATATGCCGAATCTAACCGTGTATTTAGATTTTTAATTTGGGGTCCCGTTTTTTAAATTGGTCTACATTAAGGTCCAAAGGGTCCAAAATTAAACTTAATTTGATTTTAACAAAAATTGAATTCTTGGGGTTCTTTGATATGCTGAATCTAAACATGTGTTTAGATTTTTGATTATGGGCCCAGTTTTCAAGTTGGTCCAAGTTGGGGTCCAAAATTAAACTTTGTTTGATTTCAACAAAAATTGAATATATGGGGTTATTTGATATGCAAAATCTAAACATGTATTTAGATTTTAGATTTTTGGCCCAGTTTTCAAGTTGGTCCAAATTGGGGTCCAAAATTAAACTTTGTTTGATTTCAACAAAAATTGAATATATGGGGTTCTTTGATATGCTGAATCTTACCATGTATTTAGATTTTTTATTTGTGGGCCTGCTATCAAATTGGTTCATATTGAGGTCAAAAGGGTCCAAAATTAAACTTTGTTTGATTTCATAAAAAATTGAATTATTGGGGTTCTTTGATATGCCAAATCTAACTGTGTATTTAGATTTTTAATTTTGGGTCCTGTTTTTTAAATTGGTCTACATTAAGGTCCAAAGGGTCCAAAATTAAACTTAGTTTGATTTTAACAAAAATTGAATTTTTGGGGTTCTTTGATATGCTGAATCTAAACATGTGTTTAGATTTTTAATTATGGGACCAGTTTTCAAGTTGGTCCAAGTTGGGGTCCAAAATTAAACTTTGTTTGATTTCAACAAAAATTGAATATATGGGGTTCTTTGATATGCTGAATCTAAACATGTATTTAGATTTTAGATTTTTGGCCCAGTTTTCAAGTTGGTCCAAATTGGGGTCCAAAATTAAACTTTGTTTGATTTCAACAAAAATTGAATATATGGGGTTCTTTGATATGCTGAATCTTACCATGTATTTAGATTTTTTATTTGTGGGCCCGCTATCAAATTGGTTCATATTGAGGTCAAAAGGGTCCAAAATTAAACTTTGTTTGATTTCATCAAAAATTGAATAATTGGGGTTCTTTGATATGCCAAATCTAACCGTGTTTTTAGATTTTTAATTTTGGGTCCCGTTTTTTAAATTTGTCTACATTAAGGTCCAAAGGGTCCAAAATTAAACTTAGTTTGATTTTAACAAAAATTGAATTCTTCGGGTACTTTGATATGCTGAATCTAAACATGTGTTTAGATTTTTGATTATGGGACCAGTTTTCAAGTTTGTCCAAGTTGGGGTCCAAAATTAAACTTTGTTTGATTTCAACAAAAATTGAATATATGGGGTTCTTTGATATGCTGAATCTAACCATGTATTTTGATTTTGGACATTGGACCATAATAGGTAAATTAAAAAAATTGAAGTTCTTAGACCACATTCTTTCTGTGTCAGAAACCTATGCTGTGTCAAATATTTAATCACAATCCAAATTCAGAGCTGTATCAAGCTTGAATGTTGTGTCCATACTTGCCCCAACTGTTCAGGGTTCGACCTCTGCGGTCGTATCAAGCTGCGCCCAGCGAAGCATTTTATTCGAAATTTTTTTTTATCTTTTACAAAAATCTTCTCCTCTGAAACTACTAAGATGAATTTAACTAAAGTTGTAAACAATCATCATTAGGGTATGTAGTTTAAAAATTGTGTTTGATGACCCCGCCCTCAAACCAAGATGGCCGACATGGCTAATAATAGTACATAGGGTAAAATGCAGTTTTTGACTCATATATCTAAACCCAAAGCATTTTTAGCAAATCTTTCAAAAACAAAATTGTTCATTAGGTCAAGATCTATCTGCCCTTAAATTTTCAGACCATTCAGGCAACCCGTTGTTGGGTTGCTGCCCCTGAATTGGTAATTTTTAGAAATTTTTTCAGCTTTTGGTTATCTTGAATATTATTATAGATAGAGATAAACTGTAAAGAGCAATAATGTACAGCAAAGTAAGACCTACAAATAAGTCACATGACCAAAATGGTCAATTGACCCCTTAAGGAGTTATTGCCCTTTATAATAAATTTTTAACAATTTTCATAAATTTTGTAAATTTTTACAAAATAATTTCCACTGAAACTACAGGGCCAAGTTCATTATAGATAGAGATAATTGTAAGCATCAAGAATGTTCAGTAAAGTAAGATCTACAAACACATCACCATCACCAAAACACAATTTTGTCATGAATCCACCTGTGTCCTTTGTTTAATATGCACATAGACCAAGGTGAGCGACACAGGCTCTTTAGAGCCTCTAGTTTTTATACGACCGCAAAAATTAAAAATTTTTTGGTCGTATATTGGTATGACGTTGGCGTCGTCGTCGTCGTCGTCGTCGTCGTCCGGCGTCGTCCGAAGACACATTGGTTTTCGCACTCTAACTTTAGTTTAAGTGAATGGATCTCCATGAAATTCCACCATAAGGTTCAATACCACAAAAGGAAGGTTGGGATTGATTTTGGGGGTTATGGTACCAACAGTTAAGGAATTAGGGGCCAAAAAGGGGCCAAAAATAAGCATTTTTGTAACTTTCAGACAATAACTTGTGTGTAAGTGTATGGATCTCTCTGACATTGTACCACAAGGTTCCATATCACAAAGGGAAGGCTGTAATTGATTTTGGGGGTAATTGCCTCAAAATTTTAGGAATTAGGGGCCAAAAAAGGGGCAAAAAACAAGCATTTTTCTAGTTTCATGACAATAACTTGTGTGTAAGTGTTTGGATATTTCTGAAATTGTACTACAAGGTTCCATATCACAAAGGGAAAGCTGGAATTGAGTTTGGGGGTAATTGCCCGAAACGTTTAGGAATTGGGGGCCAAAAAGGGGCCAAAAATAAGCATTTTTCTAGTTTCCAGACAATAACTTGTGTTCAAGTGTATGGATCTCTCTGAAATTGTACTGCAAGGTACCATACCACAAAGGGAAGGCTGGGATTGAATTTGGGGGTGATGAATCATAAGGGGGTTCAAAAAATTTGGGGGGGGATTTTTTTTTTTTTTTTTTTTTCTTTTTTTCCTTTTTTTTTCTTTTAAAATTTTCCATTTTAAGTTGGTTATTTCTGATTTATATTTAAAAGCAAATAATAATGATATGGTAGGAGATACACACCAAACAGGATGTGTAAATTATCATATAATAAGTATTGTGCAATAGCAAGAAATTTTCAATTGCACAGTATTGCACAATAGCAAGAAATCTTCAATTGCACAGTATTGCGCAATAGCAAGAAATCTTCAATTTAACAGTATTGCGCAATAGCAAGAAATATCCAATAGCACAATATTGCGCAATAGCAAGAAATTGTCAATTGTACAGTATTGCGCAATAGCAAGAAATATTCAATTGCACAGTATTGTGCAAAAGAAGATACTTCGTATAAATTGCTTATTTCTTGATCAATTTCAATGGGGTTTTATTCTTGAATTCTTGGGGTTCTTTAATATGCTGAATCTAACCGTGTATTAAGTTTTTGGATTTTGGGCCCCGTTTTTAAATTGGTCCACATTGAGGTCCAAAGGGTCCAAAATTAAACTTTGTTTGATTTCATCAAAAATTGAATTATTGGGGTTCTTTGATATGCCGAATCTAACCATGTATTTAGATTTTTAATTTTGGGTCCCGTTTTTTAAATTTGTCTACATTAAGGTCCAAAGGGTCCAAAATTGAACTTAGTTTGATTTTAACAAAAATTGAATTCTTAGGGTTCTTTGATATGCTGAATCTAAACATGTGTCTAGATTTTTGATTATGGGCCCAGTTTTCAAGTTGGTCCAAATTGGGGTCCAAAATTAAACTTTGTTTGATTTCAACAAAAATTGAATATATGGGGTTCTTTGATATGCTGAATCTAAACATGTATTTAGATTTTAGATTTTTGGCCCAGTTTTCAAGTTGGTCCAAATTGGGGTCCAAAATTAAACTTTGTTTGATTTCAACAAAAATTGAATATATGGGGTTCTTTGACATGCTGAATCTTACCATGTATTTAGATTTTTTATTTGTGGGCCCGCTATCAAATTGGTTCATATTGAGGTCAAAAGGGTCCAAAATTAAACTTTGTTTGATTTCATCAAAAATTGAATTATTGGGGTTCTTTGATATGCCAAATCTAACCGTGTATTTAGATTTTTAATTTTGGGTCCTGTTTTTTAAATTGGTCTACATTAAGGTCCAAAGGGTCCAAAATTTAACTTAGTTTGATTTTAACAAAAATTGAATTTTTGGGGTTTCTTTGATATGCTGAATCTAAACATGTGTTTAGATTTTAGATTTTTGGCCCAGTTTTCAAGATGGTCCAAATTGGGGTCCAAAATTAAACTTTGTTTGATTTCAACAAAAATTGAATATATGGGGTTCTTTGATATGCTGAATCTTACCATGTATTTAGATTTTTTATTTGTGGGCCCGCTATCAAATTGGTTCATATTGAGGTCAAAAGGGTCCAAAATTAAACTTTGTTTGATTTCATCAAAAATTGAATTATTGGGGTTCTTTGATATGCCAAATCTAACTGTGTTTTTAGATTTTTAATTTAGGGTCCCGTTTTTTAAATTTGTCTACATTAAGGTCCAAAGGGTCCAAAATTAAACTTAGTTTGATTTTAACAAAAATTGAATCCTTCGGGTACTTTGATATGCTGAATCTAAACATGTGTTTAGATTTTTGATTATGGGACCAGTTTTCAAGTTGGTCCAAGTTGGGGTCCAAAATTAAACTTTGTTTGATTTCAACAAAAATTGAATATATGGGGTTCTTTGATATGCTGAATCTAACCATGTATTTTGATTTTGGACATTGGACCATAATAGGTAAATTAAAAAAATTGAAGTTCTTAGACCACATTCTTTCTGTGTCAGAAACCTATGCTGTGTCAAATATTTAATCACAATCCAAATTCAGAGCTGTATCAAGCTTGAATGTTGTGTCCATACTTGCCCCAACTGTTCAGGGTTCGACCTCTGCGGTCGTATCAAGCTGCGCCAAGCGAAGCATTTTATTTTCTTTAAAATTTTCCATTTTAAGTTGGTTATTTTTTATTTATATATAAAAGCAAATAATAATGATATGGTTTGAATTCATCAAAAATTGAAATATTGGGGTTCTTTGATATGCTGAATTTAACAGTTTATTTAGATTCTTAATATTTGGTCCCATTTTCAAATTGGTCTACATTAAGGTCCAAAGGGTCCAAAATTAAACTTAAGTTTGATTTTGACAAAAATTGAATTCTTGGGGTTCTTTGATATGCTGAATCTAACCGTGTATGTACTTAGATTTTGGATATTGGACCATAATAGGTAAATTAAAAAAATTTAAGTTCTTAGACCACATTCATTCTGTGTCAGAAACCTATGCTGTGTCAAATATTTAATCACAATCCAAATTCAGAGCTGTATCAAGCTTGAATGTTGTGTCCATACTTGCCCAAACTGTTCAGGGTTCGACCTCTGCGGTCGAATCAAGCTGCACCCAGCGGAGCATTTTATTTTTACAAGTCATTGAATATGTTTTTTAGGTGATACCTGTAGTAAAAATTTAAGGACTATCACCAATAAATCAATGATGGTCAGAAAAGCAGGCCTGACAATTAAATGGTTAGGTTTGATTTCCTTTGTAATAAAAAGGAAAAGAAGCTGAACATCAAGCAACCCTCATTTTCATGGTTCAGTGGTCGAAGTTAAGTTTTTGAGTTTTGGTCTTTTTTTCTAATACTATATGCAATAGTTCAACTATATTTGGTGTATGAAAATATTTTATGATCTAAATGTCAGTCACGCAGGTTCTATTTGACCTTGACCTCATTTTCAAGGTTCATTGCTCAGTGTTAAGTTTTTGTGTTTTGGTCTGTTTTTCTTAAACTATAAGCAATAGGTCAACCATATTTGTTGTATGGAAGAATTGTTAGCTGTACATGCCTGCCTAACATGGTTCATCTGACCTTGACCTCATTTTCATGGTTCATTGTTCAATGACTAGTTTACTTGGTTAATGTTAAGTTTATGTGACAGTTGTAATAAAGCTTTATATTTAGGACTATCAACATAATATCAATGATTAGTAAAGAAGGCGAGACATTTCAGCTTGTGCACTCTTGTTTAAATCATGGAAGTATTATATTGACAGGAACTCCAACAAGCGGACTTCAAACGTTTATAGTGCGATGCCGCAAAATCGTTAAGTATTTGTTAATAATTAACTCGACATGTCATATGGATGCATGGGTTCCGATCAAATTTTTGGAACCTCGTGATTGATCGTAATTACGGAACATACCGAAATAACAGGATGTGTACTTAATTGTGAAGGAAACGACATTAACCGACCATGTCAGTTTTTCCGGTTTTGCTGCGTAAAAAAAAATACAAAATCCCCGCGACTGTTTTCACAAAAAAAAAAACAAATTTCTTTAAATGCCGATCCATAATTAATAAATGCCATTCGTAAAAAAAATCTGTCAGAGTAATCTCGGACTAGGTTGAATGTTTAAGGTTTGTTTACAACTTTATAAAAGGTGTAACAATTCGTCTGTCTCGTAACCTGATATTGCTATGTAGAGGTCATCACCTGCGTGTAATTATAAAGCTCTTTCAGTCTTTAAAACATATTTGTTAAATACGTTAGTAACATTTTTCAATTTGAGACGATAGAGAAAACAATAAATTTTCTTGTAACATTCAATAAAAATTAACAACCTTAAAGCTTAAATTTAAGCTATCCGGCACCATCCGGCACACTACACGTGCATCACATTGTTTTCTGCAAACACCCGACTTTAAGTACATGTAATTTTTAATATCGGATATTTCCCGATTTCCAAGTTTCAAAGATTAAAACATTAAACAAAACTAAAAATAAGCTTGCCCTCTTTCCGAATGCAGTTAATTTTCTTATGTCATTCTGTTAAATATGGACCGATTTTTTTCGATCTTTTGAGCTTTTGTCTTTATTTATTGAACGGAAACAGGTGTCGTTATTACTTTGGCGATTCACAAATAACCACGGGAGTTTCCGTGTTTATTTACATTGGTAGGTAGATAAGACACTCGATACCAAATCATGTGATAAGACCAGCTTCAGTTAACAGAACAGGCGAAGGCGGCATCGCAGATACCCCTCAAAGGAGTTATCACGTACTTGACAAACTGAGTCGGAACCTTTTATTTTCTTCAAGAAATCAGTGGGATGGGAATGTGCTAATTTTTCGTTGGAGTTCCTGTCAATATAATACTTCCATGTTTAAATATATATTTTGTACACATATACATTGCATATATATATATATTTATAAACAAGTCTAAATTGAAAACAACGTTCAAACCAGTGATTGCGTCGGATAAAAATCGCAATTTTTATACGTGTGCATGCAAAACAAATTTCTTGTTAGAGGGGTCTAAATACAGCACAAACAACATTTTCCAAAAGACCAAAAAAGTGAAAAAGTATATTTTAACAAAACGCATTTGACTAACAGGTCGAACAACAAATGTTCTTAAACTCTGCTGACTGTCATTGGCGATTGCCAAATAAACTGATCACCGATGTAATAAATGGATCTTAAATATAAATTTAATACTAAACAGAAAACAATAAACTTGCGGAAAAAGATGTTATACCGCAAACAAAAGGTGCAAAGGTTTTTGTACACCATATCCGGATTTCAACAATTATGTATTATTATTAAGATATGGTGTACAAAAACCTTTGCACCTTTTGTTTGCGGTATAACATCTTTTTCCGCTGTTTGTGCTGTATATATATTTATATACATTTGAATTTATTATTACTCATTCTTTAAATGAATTCTTTTTGTTTCAGAAATTGTAGACGGTAATTGTAAAATGACACTTGGTATGATATGGACCATTATTTTGAGATTTGCCATTCAAGATATTACTGTAGAAGGTTAGTCAAGATATATTCCTCAACTCCCACAGCAGGATCTAATAATGAAATTTAGTAACTGCACTAATATTGGTGAATATTATCTCAGAAGAATGTAATATTGGTCCAGCTCACCAAACATGCACAGTTCTTTTAAGGGACATAAATTTGTGGACCAGCTATTATGAATTTTGATCTGTGTAATTTTTAGGGTTTCCCACATACCAAGATATGGACTTGGCCTGTTCTGCTTATACCAGTGTTTCTTGGAAATGGCTTGACAGAATAACAATAAGCCAAAGTACATTTAGATTCTTCAATAGGTCAGCTATTTTAAATTGTAATCAGTATTTTTAGGTGTAGTGTGGAGTATAAACCATTCTGTCTGTCAGCACTCGTTATGTGGTTTGACAGTTAAGATTATGGAACTTTAGCTGTCATATTTAAAGGCCTGCAAAGTTATCTGCATTAGACCATTTAACTCGTTTACTAATTTCTGGTTAAAGGCCTACTACAATATTCCATTTTATTCTTACACAATTTCATATTTGGGCCTTTCTTTTGCTTTTGGTAGAGTGGTGTATTAATGCCAATTTGACATTAGATTTTAAGAGAGGAAGCATACTAATGGGAACCTAATTATGATTCTTTTTTGTCAAGCCTGCGACTTTTGTCGCAAAAGCGAGACATAGCGATCCTACATTCCATCAGCAGCGTCTGCGTCCACAAATATTCACTCTGTGGTTAAAGTTTTTGAAATTTTGATAACTTTCTTAAATTCTCCTGGATTTCTACCAAACTTGGACAGAAGCTTGTTTATGATCATTAAATAGTATCCAGAAGTAAATTTTGTAAAAAAAAATCCTGTTTATCAGTATTTTACTTATAAATGGACTTAGTTTTTCTGCCAGTTAACATTACATTCACTCTGTGGTTAAAGTTTTTAAAATTTTAATAACTTTCTTAAACTATCCTAGATTTGTACCAAACTTGTACAGATGCTTGTTTATGATCAAAAGCTAGTATCTAGAAGGAAATTTTGTAAAAATATATTTCCTGTTTTTCAGTATATTACTTATAAATGGACTTAGTTTTTCTTCCAGTTAACGTTACATACAGTCTGCAGTTAAAGTTTTTTAAAACATTTATTAGATTCATAAACCATCCTTGATTTTTACCAAACTTGGACAGAAGCTTCTTACAATCAAAAGATAGTATCTAGAGGAAAATGTAAAATTATCTTCTTCATTTGTTCATTCAATAAATTTATGTTTCAACTCTTTTATAAATCTATAGATTTGATTGCATACTGTATTCATTTTTTACAAGCATAACTTTTTTCATACATTTCGAACTTTTTATTTCATTAACTGTAAATCTATGATGTGCATTCCCCTATCACACTGAAAACATAGACAACAGCAAAAGAAGGCGAGACACTGGGTTCCGCGGAACCCTTACATATTTTTCTCATTACTTGGTGTTTGTTAACTACTCTAAACTACTGGGCCAATTGGAACCAAACAATAACTTTAGTTGTTAACTTCTATCATTTGGTCACTGGTGGAGAGTTTTCTCATGTCACATCTTATTTCATAAAAACCACAATCATTCTTGGGGTATCTAGTTAAGTGTCCGATGAACCCACCTGTCAACCAACATGGCTGCCAAGTCTAAAAAAGTACTTGGGGTAAAATGCAAGTATTGTCCATTATCTTTAAAGCTGTAATAGATGGTGAAAATCTTGAAAATTTAAAATATTAAGAATAGCAAGAACTACCTACGGCTCAATTTGACCAAACCTGCCGAACAACTCTTTGTCCTTAAATTACAATTTGCAATATGGGCTATTTTATTTAAAACTATAAAAGATAAAGTAAAACTATAAATTGCAAAATTGATCAACATGACCAGATCTACAAATGGGTCAACATAGACGAAATTGTTAAACAACTCCTTATAGTGGTATTGCCCTTGAAAGACTAGTATACCAGTATTGTTTTGGGGAAAAGAAATAATAGAGAGAAATATTAATTGGCAATACAAGATCTATTGATAAATCAACATGTCCTTTAAGATCAGTCAACTCTTTAAAAGGAGTCAGTTATTGCTGTTGAATGGCAAATTTAATAAAAAAGAATAAGGAGATGTGGTATGATTGTCAATAAGTCAACTATCCACAAGAGATGGACAAAGATATGTTACCCATTTTTGTCTCGCCTTGACGGGGTCAAAAAGCTAGACATAGGTATGCTGTTTCCGGCGGCGGCGTCAACAATGTATTAGTTTGTGATTAGGTCTAGTTCATGGTTAACCACTAGTGGTAGTCAATGATATTTGGTATGCAGTTGTATTAGCATTGGCACATCTCATTACCATGGAGATTATTTGGCTCCTCCCCCTCAGTCAAGGTCTATTGACTTTGAAAATTTTCATAGTCAACATGTATTAGTTTGTGATTAGGTCAATGTATGGGGAACGACTAGTGGTAGGTTAATGATATTTGGTATGCAGTTGTATAAACATTGGCATATCTCATTTCTATGGAGATTATTTGGCTCCGCCCCCTCAGTCATGGTCTATAGACTTTGAAAATTTTGCTAAGTTTACATGTATTAGTTTTTGTGATTAGGTCAGTTCAAGGGGAACCTTTAATGGTAGGCCAATGTTAATTGGTGTTCAGTTGTATAAGCATTAGCACATCTCATTTCCATGGAGAATATTTGGCCCCGCCCCTTCAGTCATGGTCTATTTACTTTGAAACTTTTGCTTTGTTTTATTAGTTTGTGATTAGATCAGTTTAAGATGAACTGCTAATGTTAAGTCAATGATATTTGGTATGCAAATTTATTGGCATTTGCAAGTATCGTTTCCATGGAGATTATATAGCCCCTCCCCTGATCATGGTTCATTGCCTTTGAAACTTTTACATAGTTTACAAGTTAATGTTTGTGTTTAGGTTTGTTTAAAGGGAACGACTTATAATAAGTCAATGGTATTTGGTATGCAGTTGTATTAGCATTGGCACATCTCATTCCATTGAGATTGTTTAGCCATGTACCTTCAGTCATGGTTCATCGACTTTGAATATTTGCATAACTTACATGTTAAGAGTATTGCTATTTTAATTTCAACATTTGCATTATCAAAATTACAAAAAGGCCAGACATATCTCTGTGATAACAGTTTATTTACTTTTTTGAAAGTAACTATTTTTTTATTGCATTGTATCAATTTTATGAACAATGCAGAGTGAGCGATAAGCCTCTAGTTTTATTTTATTGGTTGATACTAATGATCATAGTTATAGAAGAAATTGGTATTTCAACATCATAGTAATTAAAATATTGTATTTCATACAGAATTTAAGTTAGTTGTTTCTCTCCAATGAACATGATGAAATTGACAATATTTTTGTTTACTTTCAGAATTAACAGCAAAAGAAGGTCTTCTGCTTTGGTGTCAAAGAAAGACTGCACCATATAAAAATGTTAATGTACAGAATTTCCATATGAGGCAA